AGGGGATCTCAGAGCTAGTATATGTAATAGGACTACATGCTGTCCAATTTGGAAATAATTGGATGAAAAAAATTCTGAGGACAGCCGAAATTGGACGAGGCCGCGGGCCAAGTCCAATTCGGCTGTCAGAGTTATGTTTTGAATCCAATTATTTCCAAATTGGACAAGCATGTAGTCCTGTTACTTAGTAATTATATAGCTCGTGAGGTAATACAGCTTTGCACGGAAAACTACAGCAACTGTCTCTGAAGAAAAACAGACCGGGCCATCGATCTTCAGAAACTTGGGAAAGCTTCGAAAATATCTGATGATCTTCGGAAATCCTGGGAAGTGTTCGGGTGATCTTCAGAAATCTTCGGGTGATCTTCGGAAATCTTCGGAAGAGTTCGGGCGATCTTCGGAAGTACATAAGTAATCTTTGGAAATCTTCGGACATGTTCGGGTGATATTCGGAAATCCTCGGAAGTGTTCGGATGATCTTCGGAAGTCTTTGGAATTATTTGGGTGATCTTCGGAATTCTTCGGAGGTGTTCGGGGGATCTTCGGAAATCTTCGGAAGGTTTCGTGTAGCCTTTGATAATTTCCGGAAGGTTAATAGCTTAATTTCATTGGCTGAGAAAAACTGTTCTATTTTTCCCCAAATTGGACAGCTTCTGCGTTTTTACTCAAAGTCCTTATTGAAAACTGTCCAAATTAAATCCCAAATTGGACAGTTTCCAGAAATGAAAGGATAATAGCTGTGCTGACAGTACTGGATTAACTGACTGCTATATAATTATCTCACTAATAGCCGATGGCAATATCTACACAATTTCTATAGGACTCTCTGGTGGGCTTCGAATCCTCTGACTTCTTTTGACGGGTTGACCAACTTGCCGAACATCAGGCTGCGAAGGTGCCTCGTGCTCTTCGATCCCATCACCAGTGTATGATGAAACGGGCTACACTCATCACTGGCTGGTTCCCCTCCATGGTTGGCTGAAGATGGATACGATTCCTACGCGACAGTGTCCCATCTAGGGTTGCCACAATGTATGAACTAGGAGCGTGGTACTGCTTGAGAACCACTGTGGGTGTCCATTGACGATCCTGCTGTATTAGCATTGTAGGGTGGAACTCTTTCTGACGTTTTTTATCTTTATGTATGTGGATGGTTTTGATAGGGTACATTCCGTTCCAGAAGACTCAGTAGTGCTGGTGCTTAATTTCTGTGTTTATCGAGATCGTGAAACACTGAAGTACCTTTACTCATTCTAGCCTCTATTCAGGTTCACTAGAACTTGCCTCGCAGCTGGCGTCGCTGCCAGAAGTTGGCAAATCATCATCAACAACCAGCCTAATCCTACACTCGCAAAAACTGTGTAGCAATTTAATTCGCTCTTGCAGTGCGTCTACAAAGTAAAATCCGCTGTTACAATTCGCTATGCTATATGCCTCCTCTGCTGTTTCTTTGGCTAGTTGAAACTTTTCTTGGCGATAAAACTGGTCACAGCGTGTTTGCAAAAGCTCTACTCGTGTACCTAATGGCATCCCGTTTCCGAGTTCACGCTCCACGAAATCCAGATGCTGCTTCGCTTCTTCAATTCGTTCCGACGAGAGAATGTTTTGCTGATGCAACGTAGCAGTGGAGCAGGTATCGAGAGGCAGCTGTGCAACTTTGAGATGCCAGTATCGTTATAATTTGGTTTGAATTCGCTCACGGGGATCCTTTTTACAGCATGCAATTGCCAGCTCGAAATTATGTTTGGCATCATCTTGAACAGCTCTGCGCGCCTGTGCGTGCCTTCTTTCAGATATGGGCATTGCGCTCATGCGAGCCAGGCCAAGATTTCCGCTGGCGTAATATAGTTCTGCCCAGTCTTGTGGTGAGTCAACATTCTGAAGTAATAATTGACTTTTTTTCAGGCATTCTTTCATGGACTGGATTTTTGTTACTATCCTGAACCTGTCGACGTAATTGTCCACGATCAAGTAGTGAGCTCCTGCCATCAAGAGATGTTCATTGCTGAGCTGCTTTGTTGATAATAGAGTTAACAAGTTTTCTGCTTTTCTGGAATTCCCTGTGGTAAGAAAATGCAACTCCACGCTCTAATAATAGAGCCAATTCATGTCGAAATTTTGTTTTTCTCATCAGAGTTTCAAATTTGCAATCGCCAAGGTTTCATGCTCTTTGAATTTCCCATTGTCCTGCAGGTTTACTAGTTTTTCAATGATCTCTTCGTATTGCTTGCCGCTCAGATATCCCTGTTTCGTAATCATTGGAAGTGGACGATCTACATCTAAAACCTGATGAGCCTTGATCGTTATGGATGTATCACTTTCCACACGTGCATTATATTTTTGCGGGATTCCAGGTTTACCTTTGCCAACTATCTCGTGTTTCGTTGTAGATGTTCCTTCGGACTCCGGAATACGATTCTTTGATCCGGAAGGATCTTCGTCGTTGGAACTGGGATGGCCGGTAGTTATGGAGAGCACAGCTTTGTATGTGCGGGACACCGACTGGTTGACCAATGATTATACGACATCGCAATCTTGGACCGTTAATGTTATTGAGTTTGTATGATGTTCTACATCAGCCGTGGTTATTTAGGGAAGTGAATTCATGCATGATTCTTGAAAGAGGTTGGAGGGACAACTGATGGAGTAAGACTGCTGAGCTTGGCTTTTCTCAGTTTCCTCTTCCGCCCTGGTTGTTTTGTCCACCTGCAAATTGGTCAGGACCGATGAGCTGTGGCAGTGTAATGAACACTATATCG